CCTCAGCAGTGTACTTTGTCAATCTGCCTGTTCTACTCCCCACTCTGTCTTTGGTGAACCCTCTCACCGCCCCTGCACCTCTGGCCTGTACCCCAGTTCTGTAAGCATAAATAAATAAATCTTTTTAAAAAATATGTGGCTATTCTAATAAGTAAAATGGGTGATCTGTTTGCAATTCTAAAGTTGCCAGAAGTCTGGGCCTCCTTGGTGGTTCAAGGGGTTAAGTTGTAGCACTCTGAAGCTATCCGCAGTCAATGCAGCATGAATTCAACCCACCTCCCACCCCCCCAACCACCCCCCGCCAAAGAAGTAACCCATAAGGCAAAGCAGATCTCTCTTGCCTTGCCCACTTCTCCCCTCAGCAGAGTGTTTCAGTTGATCTGCCTGTTCTGCTCTCCACTCTGTCTTTGGTTAATCCTCTAACCACCTGTACCTCTGGCCTGTACCCAGAGGTACAACTGGGGTTCTCGTATGCATAAATAAATAAATCTCTAAAAATAGTTGAAATAAACTTCAAAATAATTTATTTTGTGAGATTTTAATTAGAGGTTGCTGAAGTAATTTCTCCATTGGCAGAGAATAGTATTTGTAAACTAGTTGTAATATCTGTAGAATCTAAGAAGGGGGAGGAGTTTGTGTCCTCTGTGGTAATTATTCTGTCACTTTTACTACAACATGGGAACTAAGGATCTCCTAGGACCAGCTTAAGAATGTCCAGAACTCACTTGCATACTTCCATCAAATATATACTGAGAAGGTGTGCATAAGGCCAAGTACTTACTAGATTAATGAACAAAGATTTAACACCTCTAAATGCTATGTCCTGAAATGACACTCATCTGCACAAGGTCTGCTTTGGATATCATTGTCAGATTTTGTATTGGCTATACAACCAACTTCTTTTTATTTTGAGTTTATCATTTCAATACTTATGTCCATTTTCATCACTCAGTATTGAAGCATCAGGTTGACAAAACTTATTAGGACTTTTAAATTAAAGGCGCTTTACATCCCAAAGATTATGTATCTAATTAAAACTAGTGACTCAGAGCTACAAGGAGACATATACTGAGTTTCCTGGAAGGAAGGACCTTATGACAGAGTCCAGAAATGTAATCGACTGAAATTTCAAAAAAATGGTAGAGATCTACAGAGATATTCAAGCCTCATGGGGAGAAATGTGTATGACTGAATAGTGTTTAAAACTCTTTCCAATATGTGAGATTCATGGGATTAGGGACTATGATTTGGAACAAGCCAATGGTGTGATGCCAGGCAGATTAATTTCATTGATATAATCTTCTCAAGTGATATAATGATGTATAAGATAGCCATTGAACTTTGTAAGCTAATCAAATGGTAAGAACTTTTCATTTTGTTACTTTATTTTTATTATGTTTTATTACATTATCACTTTTCCACTATATACTACTTCCATGTTTATTATGTACAAATAAATATAGTATATATTATATTTTGTTTTAATTTGTTGTTATAAAAGCTGGTAACTTCAACTATATTGGAGAAGTGTTAGCTCTTTCATACAGATCAACAATTGTACAGGTAAGAGTTATGGTCTTGTTTTCAGGAGATTCCTTCTTTATCTGTTTGGAAACCTCAGATACTTTCTGTCACTACTAAGTGGCATTTAAAACTATTTTGCTTTGAAGAAATACATTTCATATGCATGCATTCGTATATTTTAGTATGCATATTGTTGTATGCTCTGTGTACACACATATCTACAAATATAACTCAGAAACCCAGTGTGTATATATATTCCCACTCCTGTGCATTCATAAATACATAAATATTCATATAGCCATAAGCATACTGTTTATGTGTATGTTGCATATGACTAGCAATAACTACCTCCCTAGCACTATATAAAGGGTCTTGATTTTTTGAAGGGCTTTAGAAAACAGAGACACCAAGTGATTACAGAAATGAGATAATTTTACTGGAAGTTTCCATCCTAAAAGGTTAAAGTATCAAAGGGACAATAAACCATAATTTTGGTTATCAATAGTCCTTTTATATGTAAGACTCTGCAAATACATTATTGGATGAAATCCAGATATTTTTTCAAAATTTCTGAAGCTAGTAAAGATTTTGATGATTTTCTAATTCAAACTGTTTCATGGTATTTATGAGCACAGAGAAGAAAGAAAACTTGTCCAATGACACATACTGAATTAGTGCTAGAATACTATGTACAATACCTAGTACAGTGATTAGTGCAAAACACATGCTCAGTACATGCTAATTTAACACGCAGTTACACTGCTTGTACATAAGGCTTTATGATTGTTCTTGGCTAAATTATAAAGGATATCTGTATTTCAGTCAGCTTATTTTAGGCCACAAGACATTCCGAGACAAGATATGAACTATAGCTAGGACAGTGATCTATGTTCCAAATTGAAACAAACAATGTCACACTTTTTCTTCTGTATCCCCTTTCATTCATAGGGTGATCTTCTTTCAGAAGGGAATGGACAATTCCTCTGGGATCCGTAACCCATTGCATGCAACCATTCCTTGACAAACAGGGGTCAAGGAGCTAGTATTTTCCTATGGAAGATGAGATTCCTCAAAGAAGTCAAATACTACTAGTGTGACCTTATTTCACTAAGCAAGACAAACTGGACTTGAGGATTGCAGCAGCACCAGTCCTGTAGGGGTGTCCCATTTAGAACACCTGTTACACTGCAAATAAACTCACTGGAGTGGATATAAGGCCTGCCTTTTAGGAGATGATGCCCAAAGGCCTTTTTTTTTTTTCTGTGCAATGTTATAGTCTTCAATTTGCAACAGAAAAAATGTTGTTAGTAAATTATGTGTTCTATTTATACATATAAAATAATGTGGTATGGTAGAAAGAATACTGACCAGTAAACATTAGTTTTCTTTGCCAAACTGTAAATGAAGGTGATGATAGTATGTAGCTTGAAGCATTGCTGAGGATGTTCATTCAAACAGTATAAGTAAACCCCCCAAATTGGGCCTATTTCATTGCAGGTGCCTACTAAAAAGAGATTTCTTCCCTTCAGACACCTCCAGTTAACGTTTATTTAAGCAAGTCACCTTCCCAGAACTCATCCTTGGAATGAAAAGGTTGTACTGGGTTGATTTTTTGACTGCAGCTTTAAGCTGGCCATTTCTGGAGTCCTTTGGCAAAGGGAAGAATGGGATGGACAAAGGAGGGGAAGCTTTTGCTGATCTGGTTGCTACTAAATCTTCTATGTAAAATGACCTACTATCATAGATGTGTTTTCCATGCCTAAGCTGTACATTTTCAGCTGAACAAAGGGAGAAGAGAGATGAACTGTAGACAAACGTATGTGGTTGTTTTCCTGTTAGCAATTGCTCTACACTTTTTATTCCTTTTCCCTTCCACAAACATTTCTCCTCTGCCAGTAAAGACTCCCCAAAGCCCTAGTCCAGCCAATAAACCACTGTAAACATGACACAAGTTACCAATGACTAGAAGGAATAGAATGAGGAGATATACAAACTGACACTGGTCAGGCCTGTGAGTGTTATTAGTACATTCTGCATGTTTGAGAGCAGCGGGGTCTGTATCTTTGTCTATTTCTGTTAATTATTTTGCTCCTTTGGATTGCTCAGTTCCATTTGTGCAGTCAGTCAGTCATTGTCAATTGAGGGCCTACTAAGTGCCAGCCTAGTGTTAGGAACAAGGAAGAAGAGAGCAAAGTATTGAGTAAAGTATGGTTTTGAATGGATCTTGTTATCTTTGAGCAGTGACCCTGAAGATCTCTGGCTGTGAATGTGTGCACATGTGTGTGTGTTTCTTTGTATCTGTGACAAATCCAGTTTTTCATGCCAGTAATCTGCTTTCTTCTACTGACATTAGAGGACTTATTTTAACTTACTGTGATTCACTTCACCAAAGAGTGGGGAAGCTATCATTTATTTTTTATAACCTGCAAGAATGGGGTTATTAAAACTAGAAGTAAAAAAATTGAAATCCTAGAGTTTTATTTTTATAGAAGTTGTATCGACACTGGTAATATGAAACATAGGCATCGTGTTAGCTCCCGTATGATCTTTTGAATGATTGCAGGAGTCAGCAGGAGGAACCATTACCAATGCACATGTCCACTGTACTTTGCTAAAGGAGTGACAATTTCTACCACTAAGCATTTTTTCATGGGAATTGTTTAGTAAAGGTAGAACAACTTATTTTTTAAAAAAACAGACAGGTTGGGGGGATGTCTAAGTATTATTTCCATGTCACTAAACATTTATGCTGATTCCCAGTCAAGGTTTTTCAGAAGGCACTGGGCAGTGTCACCCTCCCCCCAGAACCCAGCATCAAATTCTATCCAAACATCAATGTTCTACATTCCCTAACCAAAGCCTCCTGGGCTTCTTTCTTCCTTTTCTCCCCCCTTTCAGCTCCCCAGAAACAAACAACAAACAAAATACAGTGAGTGTCCTAATAAAAGAGATATAAGTAGAACATGACTTGTTCACCCCTATCAAAAACATCTCTGAGGATATGTGTGTGTGTGTATGTGTGTGTGTGTGTATATATATATATATATATATATATATATATATATATATATGAAGATGCATCATGATTGATGAGACAAGTTGAAACCACACATACTGGTTTAATTCATATACACACACACAAGCAGACTGGGTTATGTGTGTGTATACATATATGTGCATATATACACAAACACATATGTATGTATATATACCCATATATGTATATGCATGTATGCATATGTATATGAATACATGTGTGTGCATATATGTATATGTATGTATGTGTGTATATAAATATAACCCAGTCTGCTTGTGTGTGTGTATATGAATTAAACCAATCTGTTGTGATCATTTTCGACTTGTCTCATCAATCATGATGCATCTTCATGCCCTGTATACCTATAAATACTAAAGGGAAGGGACTGTAAACACATTAATAAAACTGTCTACTCTTATATTTGTATTTATTCTTTCAGGAAAACAGAAGTACTTGTGTGCCAGCAGAAATGACTGTACTATTGATAAATTCCGAAGGAAGAATTGTCCATCTTGTCGCCTACGGAAATGCTATGAAGCAGGGATGACTCTAGGAGGTATGTTGCTTTTCCTCCTTTCTTTCTTACTCCTTGTCCCTCCCTAATTGTCTTTTTTAACCAGTTTCTTCTTTGATGTGTCTATGAAGGCCAGCCAGGCTCTCAATGTAGGCTGACCTTTTCATGCTGAACATGACCCTCAGCCAGTTGGTACTTTCCTTTATCATTTAGCATGCTAAACTCTTGTTCTGCGGTTCTGTAAAGAAGCATGTGGTGTGAAGCAGAGATCAACACCTATCAGAGAGTGAATGAATATCAACTCCTTGGTTCTTCAAGGGACAAATTTATTCTGACCTTATATTGTTAAATGGTGTCTAGGATGAGAGAACCAAGGAGTCCAGAACAATTACAGGTGCAAGATGACCCAGGCACAGCATGGCCCTGAATAACTAGGAATATCCCTCAGTTAAATGTTTTGCATGTTGTACAGCCGGCCACCTGGAATGAGAAGCTGTTTCTCTTTGGAGCCTATGATCATGCTGCCAAGTGTGATTTCCTATCACACATCTCCCAGGGATGAGCAGCCATTTAATCATTTCCTTTTCTTTGCAAATCTATTGATCATTTCCAAAAACACTTTTTTTTTCTGTAACACAGTGACTTGACAGATGGAAGATAAAGCTTTTCAAGGGCAACTGCCCCAATCATAAGGTTTTCTGTCCCCTACTCTGTGTCAACCACGAGCTCTGTCATCATTACAGACAAACTGGACTGACACATACATTCCCCCCTCCAATTTCTTCTTTTCTTCATGTTTACATCTGCTCATTGCCAGGGTCCTTCCTGTTGCCTGCCAATTCCAAATAGATTCACCTTCATAAGAAAAAATGTTCTTTAGTCGACTTTGATTTGAAAATGGAATGTGAAAAAAAAGGCAAGCCTATTTCTGAGTGCTAACACTGTAACCTCATATCTGATTGCTCATTATCATCCTGGAAAACTCAGGAGCCTAGAATCCTGCTCTGTCCCCTCCCCATACCCAGGCACTTATCATCTCTGGCTTTCTGGGAGTTGAAACACTCAGTACCTAGTTATCTATGTGCATATTTACAGAAACTGAGTTGTTTTATAACCTTGTGTGGGTTTCAATGGGTAATTGTACCCTCCACTCCCAAGACTAGTAGTCCTTAAACTGATCAAGTTCTACAAATGAATTGAACCAGGCTTATGTTAAGACAGTTTCAACAGAGGCCTCTCAAGTAGTATTTAGTACTACCAGAAATCACAGGAATGTGCTGTGTGAGTGATTTTCCAGGTAGCTACATTAAATGAGACTCAAATAGCCATGAAGAAAAAACAAACTTGTCCTTGGTTGCTTGACTTAGCCCAGGAAAATTCTACAATTGTTTTCTATAGTGGAGAGAAGAAAAGAATCAGGATGGGGAAGTACAGGAAAAAAAAAAAAACAAACAGAAAAGGTGAAAAACTATTGACAGAAGTTTTTTTTCTCCATATGAATGTTGTAATCTCATGGTTGGGTTCTGATTCAGTCAACTTTTACTTAATTTGCCCTCTCTGAATTTTGTATAAGTGATGGGGGGGGGCTAGGTAAAGAACCTCTAGTTTTTCCACCTGCTTATGAATTTCTCATTCCAGGTAAAGTTTAATTATAACGTAAGTGTTCATAACCTTTGAGTCCAAAACTTAAAGTTAGATTCATGTCTCAACCAACATTCTTCATTATAAAGCAGTCTGTGACATGATTACACTGAGTTTCTTTTAAAAGGAGTTCTATTTATAACAGGTAATTACTCTGTTCCTACCTTGGTCAGGCATAAATTTATAGATTAAATTCTTAAAGAAAGTGACACAGTAGGTTTTCAAATGAATTATGAGATAGTGCTCAAATCTGAACACATTTTATCAACACAACAGAAAGAAGCTTGGAAATGCTATGGATGGCTTTCATTTCAGTTCCATTCCCCCTAAGCTTTACTGCATATCTGCTGTGTAAGTGGGAACATATGAGGCCGTACAGTTTCAGGAAGTCAAACTTCAAAAAATGTCCACAATATGTAAGGATTCCTGAAGTCATGTAGATGGTCTTGCATTTGGATTCAGGCAGACCTAGGCGAAAGGCCTAGCTTCATTATTTTCTTCCTCCTGCCAAACCTCACTTTCTTCATTTGTAATTTAGAGCTGCTACTCTCAGAGAGCTGTATCGGTAATCAGATGGCATGATAAATATGAACATGCTAGGTAAGTGACAGATTGTAAGACAAATGTGAGGACTTAGCAACAACACCGTCAATCATGACTTAGCTGGTAAGACAGTTCATAATGCTTCCCAATTGGCTTTACCCTGAATTACGGCATGATCTATAATAGTGCCAAAAGGCAGAGCATCAAAAGAAGTTATTCTTGGTCATATCTAACGAACGTATCACCAAAATCCTATTTGGAAGCCATTCTAGCAATTAACAGAAACATATATTATGTTCAAACACCATGTCAGTAAAAACTTAAGTGTTTATACTGTTAGACTCCATTGTTTGCAAGACTAACCTTTCTATTTTGATAAACATATCTGCAGATGCTGCAATCCTTTCCCAAACTTATTAACTTGCAAATTCAGTGATGCATAAAAAGAATCAATGCAGAGTTCCCCTACTGAACACTCAGTCAACAGATTGCATAAGATTTGAGTTTTGGCATAAACATTTTTATCACCTTGAAGGAGAATTCATCTAACTTTGCTTTTTTCTTCCCACTGCTCATTTAGAAGTTGTGTATTCCAAAATGGCAACCAGGAATGTGGCGTTGGGCACATCGCTTTTTCCCATCTGAAGCTCCATGTTCCCACTATAAAATTGTTATAGTGGGCTTCAGCAAAGACAATTCTACAATTAATGGTTTGTGAGTCTCTGACTAAAATAACAGAGAGAAGAATTTAAGTTTGTGATCCATTTTTGGATTATCCATCTCCTCCTCCAAGAAATATAGGCTAGACTTAAGTGCTTTGAATTGCATATTGATTTATTAAAATTAATTTATCTGTTTATTATTACTTTTTAATTGAAAATATTGAGGTAACATTTTATTTTATTGAGATCACATGTAACACCACATGTGATTTAGAGGCATACAGAGTATTGCCTATTAATTTTAACATAATACATATTATGTTCCTGTAAGTAGACTGAAAGAATTTTTGAGGGAGTGAAGGGCAGAATGGCTGTGTATGTTAAAGAAGCTAGCACTCTGCAGCGGATGGTTGAAGCAGATGGAGGTTTAAAGATACTGAATCTGATTTTGTCTTTTGTATTCCATTAACTGTTTGGTGATGGGTTATTCTAAACTCAGAGCTACTTTTCTTTCCTACTTCAAGACCTATCCTGCTTGTTACTTTTTTTCATAGCAGCCAGGGTTTCTGAAAGGATTTTGGAGGTGAATATTCTTGAATTAGTTCCCGTAAGGACTACTTCCAGGTTGTCATCTAGTTTTGCAGGATAAGCATAGGTCTTTACTTGCTCATGGTTCATTTCTGGCTGCTTTTGAAAACCAAACATTGCTAATTGTTTCCAGAACCTAAATCCCTTACCTACTTTTCATTTAAGGAAATACTTTTAAATATAATTGCTATATCTTGCTCATAGACCATAATTACAATAAATGCACAGTCATCTCTCACTTTTCTCTGCACTTTCCAAGAACATAGTTCAGTTTCCAAGCTAAAATGAGAAAAAATGAATTAGCATTCCTTCTTTCCATCTTCTCCACTAATCCATTCTCCCTTCACACTACCCATTGTCCCTCCCAAAATGTTACTTCTTCTTGCATTGTGAAACACTTGACTCAGCTTGTAGTAAATATCATTGACCCCAGGATACTACCTCCTCCCCTGTAGTATGGAAGATGGTAGCCTTTCAGGAATTTTAGGTAGAAGACTATAAACCCCAGAAGATGAGAAGAAACATGGAGCCCCAGAACAGATAAGAATTTAAGGGCATGGCATTTTGCTGCTTCTAGGCCTATCAGGCTGCTTGTTGCTTTCAGATGAAAGCCTGAAAGTAGTCTTTAAAGGAACTAATTAAAGAATACCCAACTCTAAAATGCTTTTAGAAAATCCATTTAGAGGTTACTATAACATATTTGACAAGTATCTTTCCAAATATGAGACTGAACTTCACATTCCAGACTCAAAACTTAAAATAAATATGCAGGTTTTATCAACCTTTTTAAATCTTTGTTTGGGAGGATGATTCTGGAAGCTCCAGACATTGTCTATAGATGTTATAGACACTATGAATTTCCTTATGATTTCCAGTGTTGTTGAAGACAGCATTAATGTTAGTGTTTTTTCATTATTCTCATATTCAATAGCAGCCCAGTATTTCTATTTTTGAAAAGTATGTCCTGGATGTAAGAAAGTGATTGAAGAGTATGCTAAAATGCTCTTAGTGTTATATCCTCAGGAAACAAATTTTGTAGCATTTATTCATACAACTTTCTATATATATCCATGCTTTCTAGGTAATCATTCCACCTTCATCCACTCACTTGCCTACTTACTCATTTTCAAATATCTGTTAATTGGCTGGTATGTGCCAGACAATATGGTCACCATTTGGGGACAGCATAAATCAATAAGGTATAATCTCTGCCCTCAGGAAGTAAAGCAAGGACAGCTCTGACACCAAATTCCCCACGTTTCTGGGCAGTTGTCTCTTTCTCTTTCCCCTTTGCCTCGTAACTTGTCTTGTTTAAAAGTTAAACAAACAGAAAAAATACAGGCAGTAATAATGAACAAATGTAGAAACATAAAACTGGTTTGGGACATAGCAAGAATCTGAATATGGCTATATGTAGGGGAATGGAGAAGACAAATTGTAATCACATTCAAAATGGACTTGTTTATTATACAAAAAAGGTTTGAGCTTTGGGTAGTTGAAGATCTATGACATGAAATAAACATATTGACAGGCCCTCCCTGGTGGCGCAACGGGTAGGACGCAGCACTGCAAGCTGGTCACAACCACCTCAGTGTGAGTTTGATCCCC